GCAAACATGATCAAGACAAATAAGCAATAAACACTTTAACTGGATGAGCAGAGCCTGAGGGTCCAGAAAGGAAGCTGTATGCTGTTACAGAAATAGAAGGAAGGAAATAATTTACTCTGAAAACAGAGGAGAATGCAGGAAATTAATAAACTCTTTTTCTATCAAAACACCTAAKTTACATTTTTAATTGGTCTGTTTTAACAGTATTGCTATCATTAATCTTGACCAAAAGGAAAAACGGCTGCTTTCAGATTTGTATRTTTACTAAATTGGCTCCCCAGCTTTGCACAGTCATAGATCCTGAACTAACTCAGACCAAATCATTAAGGGCCTTGGTTCARGACTGATGTATGAGCACAAGATGTCATCAACAGGATATGAGCATGAGATAAAKATTTCACACCTGGCAGAGCTGTTTAAACAAGATTATAAAAAGGAAATGAACAGGTATTAWGTATCAGATATTTCTTAGTACATGGAATAGGTATATACCATAAGGCAGAAGCAAGAAAGTRGATGCTGCCCATAAATAACTCTCTCCACACACTTCATACAGTGGGAGATGSACACCAAATATTTGCATGTTCAGTGTCCTACTGCTACAAACTTATGTTTCTGCTTCCTCCATCTTCTAACGTTGTGATGACAACATTTGCACTCCCACCATGCCTGATCATRCATGATCCACTGTGTAATAACAGAAATTCGCCTCACAGGGGAAGCACAGAATTTAGTAAGGGAATTTAGAGAAGAATTCAGCTGGTCTACCACTGTTAAATCCCAATCAATTTTCTGTGGGTCTCATTTTCATTATATGATTAAAATGGCATCAAGGATTCTTTATTCAACTGTAATAAATTTAACCGGAGATGAAAGTRTGTTTGAAACTAAAAACAGGACTTAAAAGCAAGCATAAAGTGCATTTTGTAGAGAACCCTTTTTGTAAAGAAGGAAATTAACCTTCACAGTTAAATGATCTCAACTACACGCATTACAATAGAAACTCTTTCCYTTTTTCAAGCTTCATTATTCATAATCTTCCTTATTCTAGACATTACAAACAGTTTTTTATTTTAATCACACAATTCACTTTCACAATTTAAAAGTCAATTTTACTGCAGTACCTCCTACCTGATAAAATACATGCAAATATATATATAATGCTTTTCATTATGATTAATCTTAGAACCTCATATGTAGGCAAAAAGGAATATTCAGCCTCATAGCTCCTGAAGCCAGGATGGAATAGCTTCAATTTTTTATGTATAAGAAATCTATAAAATATAATCATGCACTCAAGAGTAGCTGTGGCTTATCGAAATCTCTGTAAAATGTATCTTAAAAAAAAAAAAAAAAGAACTGATTCTCTAGCTTGTGTTTGCTGCCTTCACTGCAATGAAGACAGTGCTACAAAACCAGGCAGGTGCTGGGTCCTAAATCCAAAGATTTTTAACTTCACCTAAATAAAATGTTACAAAAATATGAGCTTTAAGTGCACGCATGTCTTCAGGAGGGGCAGCCTTTCATTTAATGTAGAGCAGTTGCAGAACAACTAAGGCTGCTCAGCATGCTGCTGGGCTATTCCCCCCGAGAGCAAAACCCTCCAGCTGCCCTTAGGCACAGTTATTGGCAAAGTTATTATTACTGCATTTGCAAACAGCAGCCCACAATCAGCAAGTGTTTTAATGAACTGTCCTGCAGTGGGGTACGCAGCATCCAGGACTTCACAAGTAGTGTCAAAGTCTTGAAAAACCCTRACCCTTCCTGCAGATTGGTTCTTTACCAGGAAAGAGATTAAAAATTTCCAAGTTAGAATAGCAAAATCAAACTTCCAATATATGGAAACAGTTAATGCTAATTACTTTATTGCTGCTGTTGTTATTTAAAACACTGTAACAGAAATGAGTGGTATTGTAGATGGTTATYATTCCTCAAAAAAGCTGAAAACAGTGCTCAGTAAAAGCTACAGGGACACAGTGTCATTTATTCATTGTCTTTACTTTTAATATGAGCTCATAGTTACCTAGCAAAGCCATACCATCCTGCTGGTATCTTTTTCATTTTTCTAACCTCTTGCTTTTGTTTTGCCAGGTCTTGCCCTTWTTTAGACCACAAGGACTATCACTAAACCCACACTGTTTGGACCACTAGATATGCAAAGATACCAAAAATTCATACCAGGCATATGCTCATGACAGCAAAGAATGCTTTCCCTTATAAGCAGTTGCTGCTACTGTTCAGCCCTGCTCAGAATTATTGGTCATTTCAGGCACATTAAAAAACACAATTATTTTTAAGTGGAACTATTAGGCTTTATTGACGAAAATCTCTCCCAGCTACTGGATTTAGGCTCTTTTCATTTAGGAAAATTATTTACTAGGCTGAGACTCACTAACCCTCCTGGTACAGGTCATGTGCAAAGCTCTAATTTGGCTTAAATATGACAAAATGAGATTAAGGTTTCTAAATGCAGATGAACACAATCACATCTGCAAACACTAAGGAGGAAAACAGCCATCCCATTCTCACCACCTTTCCCCACCCCACAGCCCCAACAATTCTCATATTGCAAGTCGGTGAACAAAGTCCATTTAATACAGTAACATTCTCTAAAGCGAAAGGAGTTTCAAACTAGGAGTTTCTAGAGAGGTGGAAATTGTTTTCTCCACTGATACTTAAATTATTTGGAAAAGTGGAGAGCATTGTAAAATATATGTCTCAGAGTCTACACCTTATCTCTAAGTTAAGTGTACTGCAGTTGCTATTGACAAAGCCATTTTTCTTTTAAGTACTCAGAAGTCATGCCTTGGATGTTGTAGTTGTGAAATTCATAGACTGGCTTGCCTGCAAGCAGCACTAACTGATAATTAAAATCCTGTTGWGAATTCACTGTTTCTACAAGACCTATGGCTGTACTATGCTCAACTTTATTTTGCAGAGTGTTTCTCAATATGTTATGGCCATGCACCTATAAAAGTCAGAGGAAGAAACATGAACAAGAAAAAAAATTAAGTGGTGATGGAAATATCTTTGCCAGCAGCAACCTCAGGTAAATAGAGTAATCTTCCAATCATGCCTTGGAGCAAAAGCTCAGTTCAAGCATTACCAGTAGTTAGCACAAGAAGCTTTTTGCTGTTTACAAGAATAAACAAGGTGCTGTTCGCTTTCTCCAGAAGGCTTCTGAAGGACATACAATCAACCTACACACCACAAATCATTCCAGGTTCTTCTGCAGGTTTTGCTCAGTGACAAAYGGCTGTGCCACTCTGACAAAATAAGCGTCTGCACTTGCAGAACATGCAATAGGATAAAAGGTCAAACCCAGCATATAAATATATACAACACAGGGAATGTGTACATGGAATAAACAAAAGAAACATAACTAGAGGCTCTGCCATGTATATGATATAAATTACTCTTTGCTATATGATGATTTTGGCCCACCACATAAATTAGAGTGTTTAAATGAGTGATACGAGGAAATGGAACAAAAAAAAAGCCACCTTCAAGGTCTAACAAATATAAGAGATTAACCATACTGCAGACAGTCTCAACTGTTTCGCTCCTGGTTGCTTAAAATTCTTAACACGACATGAAACTTAACCCTAATGGCTTCTGAAGAGGGAAAACTTCTGGAAAAGTTAAAATTAATGAGACAGTAAATAAAGCTATATGAAATACAGTTAAACTATTTCCAGTACAATGCCCACCCAGCCAACTAAGCCAGAGCCATCTGGCATAAACACAGACACAAGCAGAATCTAAGGCTTGAGATGGTATTTCTGGGGTGCTCTCAAAAGAATAATGATTCATCTGCTTTTCCATTTTGCAAAGAATGGATGGGCAACCTCGGAAATAGCTCATGAACTCCTGCTTAGGTTCAATAGTTTGCAAAGCTATTGCATATTGTAATTCTGCAATTCAGATATGAGGAAAGGGAAGCATTATTCAGGCACAAAATTACTGTCACCAAAAAAGGGAAAAATTATAACCTCTGAGAAAATGAAAAATATTTCTAMTAAGTTAAAAGTGAAATATTTTTTATGTAGTCCAAAACTCAGTCTATAAAAAATAGCTAGTGCTACCTTCAACTGCTCCCTACTTCATCTGTTAGAGAAGACAAGCTCAAACCTCCACAGATTTATTGGCTTTCCTGCTGATTGTTTCAATATTACCTCTTCCCCAACAGTAGGCAGTTATTTTACCATTTTCATCTGATGCACAGAGCTCACCATAATTAACTGCCTTGGGAGTCTGCTGGCTTGAGGATTAATGCTGTGCTCTCCTGGTGGGGTCTTAGGAAGCAGGGTGCCCAAGTGGCAGGSAATATTTTTCAGTGGAATTATCACTCCTGAAATTTCAGCTACTGGTGAAAATAAATTCAAAAATAATTTTCCTTCAAAGGGCTGAATTTATTATGCATGCTCTTGAGGCCAGTTCACATATTGCAAGAGGTTCATTACAATCTATGCATTCATTTATATTTCATTTTACACCAAGGTTTTCATGCATTTGCAAATTCAGAATAAAGTCAAAACTAACTTTTAAAACCTAGCTAGTACTGGATTGTCATGCRTTAT